ATCACAAGTGGATGGCTTTAACAAAGAGAAATTTATTGTCTCACAGTCTAGTAGGCTAGAAGTCCAAATTCAGGGCATCAGTTCCAGGGGAAGGCTTTCTCTCTCTGTTGGCTCTGGAGCAAGGTCCTCATCGTCATCAATCTTCCCCTGGACTAGGAGCTTCCCTGCACAGGAACCTCAGGTCCAAAGGACATGCCCTGCTTCCAGCACTGTTTTCTTGGTGGTATGAGGTCCCCAACTCTGCTTGCTTCCCTTTCTTTTTATCTCTTACAAGATAAAAGGTGGTGCAGGCCACACCCCAGGGAAACTCCCTTTACATTGGATCTAGGATGTGACTTTAGTAAGGGTGTTACAATCCTATCCTAATCTTCTTTAACATAAAATTACAATCACAAAATGGAGGACAACCACATAATACTGGGAATCATGGCCCAGCCAAAGTGATAGACACATTTTTGGGGGAACATAATTTAATCCATGACACCCACCCACTGCCATGGAGTTGGTTCCAAATCATAGCAACTCTATAGGACAGAGTAGAAGTGCCCTGTACGGTTTCCTAGGCTGAAATCTTTACGGAAGCTGACTGCCACATCTTTCTCCACGGAGCACACTATAGGTTCGAACCACCAACTTTTCAGTTAGCAGTTCAGTGCTTAACTGCTGCACCGCCAGGGGTTCTGTGCTCAATACAGTACCTTACTAAATAAATAATTAGGTCTATCTAAAGAATCCATAATATGTCTCCTGATGATGAGATCTGGGATTAACAGAAGAAAATGGTTTCCCATTCAAATATGGTGCTTCCAACATTATTGCAAACCATCTCACACAAGTAAAACTGCATGGCCTGAGAGGTTCAAAGGAAGAAGAAAGGTGAGCAAAACCTGAGCCCACCACTGCAGCCAGGTGATATGCTTTCAGCTTAATGTGGACCTCACACCTGGACTCCCATAAACAGCCCCCCAACTGGTATCCCTACTCGCGGCTATGCCTATCAAACCCATCCCTTCAAGGTCCCCAAGTAGTCTTTGCAAAATGGAGTTCTCTGATACTTCACAACTTGCTTAAAATTACCCAGTAAACTCTGAGAACCAAAATCCAAACCTTTTAACACTGTATGACGTTCACACTGATCTGGCTATCTCTGCCTGTCTAGCCTTTCGTTGTTGTTATTGGTTGGTTGGTTTTTGCGGAGAGTGGGTGGAGATTGCCATCAGGTTCCAGCAACACAAAGCTGTTTCTAGTTCACACACACACAATCATATCTGTGTCTCCCTATCTTTCCTCGTGCAGGCCTCTGCTTGAAAGGCCTCCTTCCTCTTCACTTGCTCCCCTTCCTTTTCTTTAGCTCTTAGGTCTCCTCCCCTAGGAAGCCTAGGACATGAGTTAAATATTCCTCTGTCTTACTCCTATCATTACCCAGACTGTCTTAGCACTGAACTTCCAAGTTATTTTATCATTATTCGATTCCCCTACTAAACCTCAGTGCTTCTGTGTCTTACTCATCTCTGTAACCCTATCAGACTGGCAGTCTGGCACACAGTAGGAACTCAAGAGATTCTGAATGAATGAATACTGAATGGCTGTACGTGGCGGAAAGTTGCAGCAGCCAAGTTAAGAGTTAGTGGCATAAAGCGGCCCTGAATTCGTCCTTTCTGCTTAGCTCCTCTCACCCTTAGCTTACTCTTAGGAAAACTCTGAGTGGAAACAGAGGTGAGTCTTGGCCCTAATGGGGCATTTACTTAGAACATTTCTTATGTGAGCAGAGTAAAGTAGAGAATGTAAGAGACTAACACGTCTCCTGAACTATCAGGAAACAAGCCCAGCACACGCCAGCAGAAGTTCTCAACCCCACCATCACCACCATCACTACCACAACCACCAAGTTCTTAATGGCACAAGGGTATACTCATCCCTCGGATTTTACAAATTCAGAGTATCTTTGATGCTTAGGGTTTTATCTTTTAAATTCATGTAAATTTATCATTGTGTGTTTCCATAAAATGAAACAGATGTTTTTAAATCACTTACCAGTTAAATGACTTAATTCCCCAACTCGCATATATATACCTCAAGTAGTAAAGCTGATATTCCAGGAATATCAGTGTCCCATATTTATCCTATAGCTTCCCATCCTTTTCCAACTTCCCCAGATGTGCTTATTTAAGAAGCGTGGGATATAGTATGGCTCCTGTGCATATACTATGTTTCTAAAAACAAAATGTTTGCGATAATTTATGAAAAAAACTGGAATAAAATGGAAAGGGAAGGACATTCAGAAAAATTTTAAGTGACTTGTCCCTGATACGAATGCTTATATGATGCTAGAGTTAGTTCATGCTACCACTACCCCATTCCCTAGAGAGCTTCCAATGAATCCTACTCTTTCCATAGATGCTGATGATGGAAAAGAACCTCCAGGTCCTCTCTCTCTCTCGGGATCACCTCAGACAATAAAAGCTAGACTCAGATATATTTTCGTAGATGTAAAAAATTATTAAAGGCAGCATTCTTAGCAGGAAAAAACTTGAAACTTAAATGCCTGTCAATACCAAAACCCAAACCAAACCCACTGCCGTAGAGTCGATTCCGTCTCATAGCAACCCTATAGGACAGCGCAGAACTGCCCCACAGGGTTTCCAAGGCTGTAATCTTTATAGAAGCAGACTGCCACATCTTCCCGCAGAGCGGCTGTGGGTTTGAACTGCTGACCTTTCATTTCAGTAAGCAGCCGACTGCTTAACCACTGTGCAATCAGGGCTCCTTCAACAGAGAACTGGTAAAATAAATGACAGCACATCTAGACAATGGCATATCATGCAGAGTATCATCTAGCCATCAAATAAATTAGGTAGGTCATTGCTACATGTTCATGCATTGTGAGTTTCAGGACATGCGGTAAAACATGAAAGCAAGGCACAAAACAGGTATAATTTCTACAGGGTTAAAAAAAAAGGGGAGTGGGGATAAATATACTTACATATGCATTGAGTGTCTCTGTTAAAATACACCAATGGTTAGCTCTGTGGAAGAAAATGCGCTTGGCTGCTAACTAAAAGGTTGGAGGTTCAAGTCCACCCAGAGATGCCTCGGAAGAAAGTCCTGATGATCTACTCCCGAAAAATCAGCCACAGAAAACCCTATAAAGCACAGTTCTGCTCTGACACACATGGGGTCACCATGAGTCGGAATCAACTGGATGGTAACTTTATGGTCCCTCTGTGGCGCAAACAGTGTGCACCTGACTGCTAAACTAAAAGTTGGTGGTTTGAACCCACACAGCAGCATTGCAGAAGAAAAGCCTGCTTCTATAAAGATTACAGCCAAGAAAACCCTATAGAGAAGTTCTGCTCTGTAACACATGGGGTCACCATGAGTCAGAATTGACTCGAGAGCAACATATTTGGTTTTTCTGGCTTACTGGAGGAGGAAGATTTAGTTATTATATACATTCTCGTATTGCTTAAAATTTTCACCATGTATCTCTTGTTACTACATGTTTTCTCCTTTTTTTTTTTTTTTGATGGCATGTGTTTTCAACATTGGAACACGTTTATTAATGGAGTGTGTTTAAATTTTTGGTTGGTAATATGGATTTTGAGAAATATGATCTGGTAATACAAGCCACCAGTGGGTGAGTGGCACTGTGGCGCCACTGATCTGTGGTATGACAGTATACCAAGGAGAGCTGTATAGATAATTTATTGTGGGTGCCTTTCCATTAGGTTACATGGGAACCTCTGGTTTTCCAAATATGACACAGGAAAACCAAAACAAACCCTTCAGGGCTCCCTAACTATCATACAAGAAAGCCATAATTACACTTCCAAGTCTTATCTCACAGAAATAAAGGGGAAAAAAAGGCAAGTTTACAAAACTAACACATCCAGGAAACATTACCTAATAGAATGCTCAACCTACACAACGAGGCTTCAACTCCGGTTTGCTGAGCTTGATGTATTTCAAAAGGGACTCACCTCGACATTAAATGCATTAGAACCAGAATAACGCCTTGCCTCTGAGGTTCAGAGGCATAAGTGGCCAGTATACCCAATGGTAATGAAAGAGATATATGAGCTTTTCAAAAAAATAAGTTGCACGTGTGTGTTTACATACCCACACGCACAATTTTAAAACAAAATCTAGAGGAAGTACAGGCAAAAGAGGAAGGGTGCAGCCTGGTTCATTCTACCCACCCAACTCCTGGCTTCCTGTGCCATAACCAGCCAACTCAAGCTGGCATTGTCTGGCTCTGGTTCCTGTGATTTCCCATGTGAGTAGCTGTACGCTTTCTTTAGAGAGGAGGGACATCAATGACTGGAGCTGTTTCACTAAAGAGCTCCTGTACCAAAAATGCAGATGTTCTTCCTCCAACATTCTCTAGAACCCTAGCTTCATGTATTGAGCTCTTGATTAAGGCGTATCTCCCAACTTCTATTTCTTTTTCCCTACAACTTTAAGAGGTCATCTGTACCTACATTCCCATGTTCAAATCAATGCACACATGCTGGAACTGAGGTAACAGAAAATCTCGTGAGGGCTCTTCCTGCACTGAATACCAAACCCCCTCTGCATTCTTGACAATGAATTCTGGAGAAAGAACCTGTTCAACCCTGGCCCAGCTGGCCAATTACACGGAAGTTCTTCTGGTGACACAATGCACATCATTAGTTCCACAACAATTTGGGAAGCATTCCCAGTATTTAGAGAATCCCTTCAATGAATCGGACCAGTGTTCTAGCCAATCCACACCCTGGAGCCAAGAGAAATGGAGTGAATATTTTATTCTTTAGTGTTTAACAGAATACATAACGAGTCACATATCAATGATTCACACACATGGAGAAAAACAGTATTGAGTATTTCTGTTATACAACTGCTTGTGAATAAGGAGAACAAAATTCTCTAGAGCGTTTAGATGATTGGAGAAACTCTCACTTTAAATTTGGGCAATTCTGAAAAGATTTCATGAATATCTTTTTAAAAATATAAAGTGATTTTTTTTTTTTTTTTTCCTTAGCCTTCTGTTTCATTAGAAAAGTCTGATGATCTTATTAGGATTTTTTTTCCTCTCTTCTTGTATTTTGAGAAAATGGCTCCATGATATGTATCACTGAGCATATAACATTTTCAACAATTTCAGAATACAGAGAACTCTATGGGGACCTTACGTTGTTTAGTAGATAAAGAGTTCTTCAAATGCCCAGAAAACTTTAGGCAACATATAATTCACATCTTCCAAATTAACATCCATGAAGTCTTCACCTTTTCTCATTAAATGGTTACTGATGCTGTTTGAGTGGTCATAAATGAACTGCCATCATTTATATTCAACAGGAACAACAAAATTCACCTACCTATAAAGTCACAAAGACAGCTGTACAATAGTTTACGTTACAATAAACGTTCACATACCTCAAAACACATTTTAAAAAAAACAAAAAAACCTGGCGTGGAAAATAATTCCAAAATGTATAAGGTGACAAGAATTCTTGGTCAACTAGTCCATCTTCCCTCCACACAAGATTGTTCACAAATGTAGATCTTCTGGTTGAATTTTCTTCCAAGTTTCAAGGGCCCCAGTAGAGAATCTAAATCCTCAAATGTTAATACTTTTAGCTACTTATTGTCCCAAACTGTGACAAAGAAAAGTTAACTTCAATGTAACTTGTTCCTGTCTATAGGAAACCCTATCTCAGGTACTGTAGCCTGGAAATAAATGAGTATTTTGTTATTTCTCTAGAGACAGACTTAAGTCACCTAAGAAAACTAATTCAGTTTTTAAATGTTTTATAGTAAGGAAAATATAGAAAACTTAAAATCCCAATAACTAATCTTTAAAAATTCAGAACAAAGGATTTACTCTGATAGTCTTACAATAAAAATATTCCATTTACTATTAAAAAAAAAAAAAACTAAGTCAATTGAGTAAAGTATTTGTGATTTAAGCTATAAAAAAATTCTTAAGGAATTCGATCCCTCCAGTCAATACTTTTCTAAATGTCTTCATTTGTAATTCAGCATTTTTTACAAGGGAGTACAATTTGAATATTAGATTGAAATTTACCATAATTTGAAGAGTTAAAAAAAAAAAAAAAATCAAAGCTTCAACCTACATGGCTTTAATGTAATAATAACATTCAATGGAAATGCCAGTAAAAATTGGAACACGTTATGAGCATTGTCAGTTGCCTCCTTTGAGTTTTTCGTATATTATGCATTTCCTCAGAGAAGCAACAGGCGTCATGTATTCAGAACTGATTGAAAGAGAAGACCATTTTGTCTAATATTATAAATTATCGCTTTGCTATCAGTCCAAAACACAACCAATTATAAAACCCAAGAACAAAAACAGTATTGACAGGGAAAAGAAATTTGAAGGTCTCATACCTTTAAGGAATATTTCTCGTAACATGTTAAATTGGAAATTAAAACGAATATGGTCTACAGGTACTAAAAAATAGACAACTTTCAAACATGTGATGCAAAAGCATTGAACATGGTACCTGTTTTTTTAACCACTACTTGCCACAACTGTCAATAATTTTTTCTCCAAATTAAATTATCAAAAGTCTAAAAGTCATCCAGCTCATTTGTGAATATAAAATGGTATTTACAGAAACATAAGTAAATGCCTGCCACTCTGAGCCAGGTTAATGCACTTACGATTATCTGAATCATTTATGCCATTCTCCCAGGTTATTTGGTGTTTTGGGACATTTTATCCAAATACCTAGTTCCTCTATACCCCATCCAAGCTCACAGGTGATGACCAACACTCCTGTCCACTTTGTAGACCACTAAGGGTCCTTCCATGGTCCAAAGCCCACAGAGGGGAAGGGATCCAAGAGTGCTGAGGCCAAGTCACCTTAGCTCAGTTATGCTGTCCAGCCAACATAAAATGAGTTTCCTACTCAGGCTTTACTTTAGGCTAAAAGTTGAAGTTTTTCACGTATCAATTTCCAACTTTAGAGGGCAGTCATCCCTAGAAAGAGGTCAGTTTAATCTGTCTACTCATTAAATTCCCAGCCCTTCGAATACTGAAAAGGAGGGGTTCACTGCAGTGCAGCAAGTATGGGGGAGGGAGGAGGGAGCAAGATGTCTACGCACAAGACAGTAGAATAGTTTAACACAAAGTTTTACAAGATAAAATTCCTAAGACTTGAGTGGCAAAGACAAGATGAGCAGGTTCTCATGACTCCTGGAGTTGCAGATTAAACAAGGAAAATCAGAACTGTCGTGTCTTGCCATCTGTCAGTGGTTTAGGTATGTCTTAAAATGTTTTCAATTCTGTTTTGTTTTGTTTGAGCAATCTAAGAGAATGCCATACAGGGTGGAGAAATCTCTGTGACCCTTTACTTTTGGCCACTGAGCAACATTCCTAAACCATTTCAAGCTTGAAGCAAAGATAAGTTCTGATGCATTACAAGCCTGAGAGCAAACAACACATAAGCAAACACAAATTCCTGGATTTCTGCTTCCATTTCTCTTAGTCTTACACTCTTTGTATATAAAGCTAACTTTATTTTTCTAAAAATGTAACTCTAATAAAGCCCTCAAGTCCTTCTTTCCCAGTTCAAAAAAAAAAAGTGGATTAAAAATGCAGGTACCTTGATTTTAAGTAGACAATTAATCAACAGTATTATTTGTATACAACTAATATCCAAGCAAAAAGTATGGAGCAAACTCAGGTTTACAATTACCTATTTTTTCCTAACTCAATTTCCCCATAGACAAGAATATAAGAAACTCATCAAAACATGTTGCTTCAGTATACACACCATCTGATGCAAGTTACTGGGTTAAATATAGGAAATTTTATAGCATTAGTAAATGAATTAAAAAACTAAATGATTCCTGTAAAATGTTTATATATGGTATATACAGATTGGATCACATGAGTCTAAGAATAAAACTGTTCCAATTCTTAACATCTGTTATGGACATAGTAAGATACAGTACAAGATCCATTTGTAAAAAGAAGGAAAAATAACGCTAATTTAAACACTGAAAACGGCTCTTACAAAATCTTTAAAAACATAGAGAAAGATGTTGAAATAAACAAAAAAAATAGAAAGGCTTCTCCGCTATCACAGAATATCCAAAGGAGCCTCACAGCATGAAAGACAAGAATTTATTTCCCTTCACTTAGGGTGTAGATAAGATATGCAGAGGGGATTTATTCTATATTAAAGGCATAAGGCAACCAGGTCTCCTGTTACTGTTGCATTTACTAAAACAACATTTTATTGCTCAGCTCACTTTTAAGAACTTATTTGCCTTCATTTAAAAATATTCCATTTTACAGCTATCTACAGATGGGCGGCCCTTGTTTAATTCTCTGCAACTCTGTCACCTCGAAAAGATTCCACCTTAACTTCAAACAACTGCATGAAAGAAGAGTGCAAAGTGGCATTTTCAGGTTTGCTCAGCCGTCAAACAGGTGCTGAGCTTAGGGAAAATAAGCACTTTTAATAAGAGATGTTAAGTCTGAGCAACCAAAATCAAACATATTTTGCTCAAGTAAATAGATTTTAAAATCAGGATTTATATTCACAGAGAAAAAGTTCAAATACTAAAACCCTACTGGGTAACTCTTTGGTTAGGTTATAAGTATCTGTAACTTCTAAGTTTAGTATTCAAAACAATTCAATAACTGCCAGCTAAGAGTAGATATCGTTATTCACCTTTATAATGCTTTGCATGTTTTTGTGTACTATTTGATGTTTTAAAATAAAATGCAAGTACTCAAATGGATGGTACAAACTTTCAAATTTCAAATAATAAATGAGTGTGTCTGCTCTTCCCTTCCCACCCTTCCTACCCTCCTTCTTCCCTCCCACCCCCACCCCCCAAGTCTTACGAGCTAAGGATGATACTACTGCCATTCACCGCAAGAATATGGGCTTTCCTAATATCCACGACGTGTATTACTACCCAACTCCGTTTTAATCACTGCCAGATGGCTTTCTGCCAGGCGTGGTGACCCTGGCAGACCTGCCCTCTTCTGCGGCAAAGTTCTTTCTCACTCTGGCCAGTAAGTGTCACATCAAGCGGAGTGGAACCAAGTCCTTCTGGCGATGAGCCAAGGAGACAGGGCGCCTCCACGCAGGAGGGTCACTTTCTGCAAGTTTAAGTCACAGGCGAAGATCTTTCACTTCATTCTGTACTGAAAAAGATCCAATCCTTCACTGTGCCAGCACTAGATTCTTCTACCTGAAACTTTTCAAAACTTTACTCATTTACAGTCACTGAACTGCTTCCATAAGGTCTTAACTCCAGAACCCCAGTTTTTCATTCAACCTTCTAAATATCTACCTTTAAAGAGGATCAAAAAGACTGTATAGTGACCTTTTAAAACACTAACTTCCCCAGTGTTATCAATTCTGATCTCTTAAACCGCGAATGAGTCATAAGGGCTCAAGAAAATGTCAAGGAATCTCTTCCCCCTGGACATGGTCCAGATTCTGAACAATTCAGTCCATTCCAGGTACTTGGTGATTTGTGGCCACACTGCCCCACTCCATCCAGATTGAAGGGCAGTCTGGGGGAGGGGTGGTTTGCGGCAGGGGATGGAGGAAGCATGGGTTGGGGGAGTATATCTGGGCTCTCTCGGTTGGAGGGGTCCAAAGAAAACGAAGAAACCCAGAGAGCTTGCGCCTGCAGGTTCTGGAATTGAGGTGGAGGGGTCTGGCCCCAGCTGCTGGGGGTGAGCGACAGAGGGACGGGAAGGAGGTGTGCTATAATCATCTCCCAAACAGGGAAAGAGGGGGGACGAGAGCTAGAGTCGCGAGGGGGCTAGGGAGGTCACTCCCTGCAGAAGACGTACTCGGTGTAGCTGGTCCAGATCTTGTCCTCGCTCTGGTCGGTGCTGGCGAAGGCGCAGGTGCCCGTGGAGCTGCACGCCACCATGTGGAAGCCCGACTCCGACAGCTTATCAAAGGCCTGCTCCAGGAAGTTAAACTTGAGGTAATACCGCGAGGTATAGCGCTCTGGGGGCCGGTCGGGGTCACGGCTCTCGTTCAGGGTGTCCCCGAACACCTCCTTGGCCAGCGACGTCTTGCCGCACACTGTGATGCGTGCCACCCGCCGGAACTTGGCGTCCGCCTGCGCGTCCCGACCGATGGTATAGGAGCCGCGGTAGCCGATGGTGATGTAGCCTGAGCGCCGGCTGCCGTCCAGCGACTGCGATGGCGTGAGCAGCGGGCCCGCTGCGCCCCCGGACGGGCTGCGGCTAGCCAGCTCCAGCGTGGGCGACGGCGCCCCGGCCGAGGCGCCCTCCTGCTGCTCCGGCTCCGCATAGCCGAGCTGCTGCAGCTCGTCGCCCAGCGAGCCCTCCTTAGACACCCCGCGCCGCGGGTGCGGCGGCCCCAGACCGGCCTGTTGGGGCGCCCCAAGGCGGCGCACGAGCTCCGGCAGCTCGAAGTACTCGGCCTCGCGCTGCAGCCGGCTGCGCTCGGGGAAGTAGTCGGGCAGCACGAGCTGCAAGTCCCGCAGGTAATCCAGGATGTAGCGGAAGAGGAAGCCGTCCCGGTCCAGAAAGAAGCGGCCTTTGCTGTCCCGGGCCAGCTCCTGCGGCTGCTGCTGCGTGAACATGCGCCAGAGAAGCGAGTCGGGCACCGAAACCACCGTACAGCGCCGGGTCACATACACCTGGCCCCCCACGTTCAGCTCCACGATGTCAGGGAAGAGCCCTGGCTCCGCCGAGGAGGACGAGGAGCCGCTGCCGCCCCCGCCGCCTCCCCCATTGGGTAATCCACGTGTGCTGTCTGCCAGAGCCATGGCAAAAAGGTAGCTGGGCTGGGGCAGAGGAAGGGAGTGGGGCCACGCGCAGGAGCCGCAGCCGCCTTTCCCGGAGCCCCGGCGCCCGGATGCTCGCTCAACCCTGCGCCCCGGCCACTGCAGCCGCCGCCGAGAGCTGCGTGGAGCCGAACGATGTGAGCGCACGGCTGTGCGCCTCCGCCCGCCTCTCCCGCACACTCCAGGCGAGTCCGGGTAGCGGCCGGTGCGCCGCTTAAGTAGAGCCGCGGGCCTCGGCGCCGCTGCGCGCAGGAGGCGTGGGCGGGGGCAGAGCGGCGGAGCCTCGCTCCCCGGGCGGGGGAGGGGGAGGAGGGAGCCGGGAATTGATTTGCATCTTAAACGCTGACGCTGCGCCCAGCTGCTGGCTCCACCCGGGCTCGCGGACCGCGGGGGCGACCTGGGTAGTGTCTCCCGTCCCGCTCCGCGTTCCAGTCCCTTCCCGCTCCCACCCAACTTTCTCATCTGAAGCGGGCAAAGCCTGGGATAGCCGCTTTGGAAAGCAAACGTTCTGTCGAAGGGGCAGTCATTGCGCCGCCTGTTCGCCTACCCCGCGCCCACCACCCGTGTCGACTCAAAAGGGGATGTAAACTTTCTGGCTTCCTTCGGGGGAGTAGAAGTGCGTGGCCGCGTCCGGCCCGGCCACCTCCGGAACCGGCTGCTTGAAACAGTCGAGTTGTGTTCGCAGCGTAGTCGGTCGTAATGTCGCTGAAAGTTCTGGAGAGTAAAGCCCTGGAGAGACAACGGGGCCGCACCAGGCCGGAGGCAGCCAGATTTTGTTCTCGTTGCTGAGTAGCCTCGAAAAAAAACCTTAGAAACCAAAAGCTAACCTCGATGTCCTGCCGCACAACGCTCTCCAATGGTTCATTTTTTGGGTGCAGAACAAACCCATTCGTTGGGAGACTTCAAAATAATAGGAGAAGAACTGAAATAGCAACAGGGGGAACTTGGATGAGCTTTAGGGGCGTGTTCCCCTGCGGGCGGCCAGCGCAGCCTCTTCGTCACAGAGCTTTAAGGGCTAGTCTGAAGAGATTGAGGATAGTGAGTCCGACGGGTTCTTCTCAGCCCTGAGTGAATCATGCCATAAAACTCGGAGGGTTTCTAGCTCTAATGTAATTTACCAAAACTACCGTTTCAGCCCCTGGATCGCTTGTGACAAGTTTATCCTCCCAGACGTCCAAGTTTTTCTCTGACCTCCCCCACGCCTCAGCCGTTCCATTCAGTCTGGTCCAGGTTCCCTCCTCACAGGGCATTTCACATTTGCAGGCCCTCTGTTTTGATCCCATCTCATCCTCTAACCCCTACTCACTCCGTATTCAATTTCACTCTTCAGCTCACAGAACTCCTCTTTCCTCCTCCCCCCACCAAAACAAAAAGAAACCTTCCCTGGCTTCCCAGGCGAGTGGGGCCTCCAGATTACCTCGTGCTCATCATTCTGAACTTTAATAGTTAGCAGTTGTTGTAGATTGAATTATGTCTCCCAAAAACACACGTTGCAAATCCTATTCTCTATACCTGTGGTTGGAGGCCTGGTGGCGACCAAAAGGTTGGGCAGTTCAAATCCATCAGCTTCTCTTGGGAAACTCTATGGGGCAGTTCTCTGTCCTATAGGATCCCTATGAGTCGGAATCGACTCCGTGGGCAACACCATTTTGGATTTTTTTTTTTTTTAATACCGGTGGTTATCCCATTTGGGAATGAGTTTTCTTTGTTATATTACTGAGGCAGTATTAGTGTAGGGTGTGTCTTAATCACTTTTCAGATATAAAATGCAAATTATGCAAGCAAGCAAAAGAAACACGCATGATCGCCAAGGAACCTAGGAATAGAAGCTGAAAAGAGACAAGAACCTTCCCTCAGAGCAGGGTGTGAGAGCCTTGTTGTAGAGCCAGCAGCCTGAATTCAGACATCTAGCCTCCTGAACTGTGAGAAAATAAATTTCTGTTCATTAAAGCCGTGCACTGGTGTTATAGCAGCACTAGATAACTGAGACAGGAGTGATTATCTGATCACTGACTTTGGTAAAAATAAGTGCTCCTGAGGGCTGCAGAGAGAAGGCAAGGAGAGAGTAGTGGAGAATGTTAAGAAGTCACCTGGTCCATGAAAATTTTTGTGCACCTGGTGTATTGGCCAGGTGTGGCACCAGGTAGTGAAGAATGCAAGGTTGAATAAGCCCCAGAGCACTTTCAGTGTGCCCAGTAGGCAAACCGTCAGAGTTCTGAGCAGTCTTCAGATCCGTTTTAACTAGACTGTCAATCAGGATAAATCAGTCAAGATCTTTGTTCTTGATAACGTTTACCCTGTTGCATAACTACCCAGTGAGTTTTACAGTCTCCTCACGGATAAGTGTCATTTTCACTTGGAAATGTTTATGTCTGCTGAACGCAGTCATGTCAGTGAGTGTACTGAAATTAAATCAAGCCCCAAATCAGCTCGCTTAATTGCAAGTACAGGTTTTGATACTGAATATATTTCACCACTCTTTTTTGTTTTGTTCTTTGGGATAAATCATAGATGACACAAAAGATGCAAGTTCCAATGCTGAATTTCTAGGTGGCTGTGCTACTCTTTGTTGTCTCAGTGTCATAGGCCTGAGGTGGCTGTGCTACTCTTTGTTGTCTCAGTGTCATAGGCCTGACAAAACCAGGCTTTTTTCTATAAATCCAAGAAAGGCCTTCTTTTTATCCATTCTGCAATTTTTGTATTATTGCTTTTTTTCACTGTCTCAGCAGATCCTGTCACCTCTACCTTCAAAATACTTCCAGACTCTTAGCATCTCTCTCCAACTCCCTGCTGTCCTACCAATAGGTCCAAACAGTCCCAATAGGTCCCACCATGGACCAAACCAATATCATCTCTTGCCTGGATTATTACACTGGTCTCCTCTCTGGTTCCGCCTTTGCCACTACAGTCTAGTCTCACCAGAACGAAAAAGCGAGATAGTGTTAAAACCTAACTCAGATGATGTCACTCTTCTCAACTCCCCACCTCCCCCCCGCCCAGTGGCTTCCCGTGTCTCATGCAAATGTTTGAAAGCCAAAGTCCTTTCAGTGGCCTACAAGACATTACGTCATCAGAGCTGCCCCCTGACCACCTCTCTGACCCATCCCCTACCATTTCCCCAGAATTTCACTGGTTTTAGCCACATTAGCTCCCTTACTGTCCTCTAGAGGACACCCTGGGTGACAAAAATGGTTAAATGCTCTACTACTAGCTGAAAGTTTGGCGGTTCAAACCCACCCAGATGCACCTTGGAAGACACGCTTGGCAGCCTGCTTCCGAAAGTCACAGCCTTGAGAACCCTATGAAGCAGTTCTACTCTGCACACGCGGAGTCACCGTGAGTCGGAACTGACTCGATGTCAACTGACAACAGCTGTCCTCTAGGAGCCTTTGAACTTGCTGTTCCCTTCACCTAAGACACTCATCCTTGATATCTCCCTCACCTTGTTCAGGTGCCTCTCTTCTCCCCTCCCTCGGGTCTCTCCTGTGAGGCTTTGTTGGGATCACCCTGTGTAATATAGAACAACCTCACCCAGGCACTTTTCCCCCCTTTCCTGCTTCCATACCAGAAGTTTGACTTGCTTGTTTACTGTTTCTCTGCATTACAGTATAAACTCCAAGAATTCAGAGATTTTTGCAGCTTAATTCCCTGCTGCATCCCCAGTGCCTAGAAGAGAGCTGGCATACAACAGGCGTTCAGTTAATATCTGCTGTTCTACCAATAAGGAGCCCTGCTGGCGCAGTGGTTAAAAGCGATCGACTGCTGACTGAAAAGTCGGTGGTTAAAAACCACCAGAGGCTCTTCGGGAGAAAGAATGTGGCAGTCTGCTTCTGTAGAGATCTACAGCCTTGGAAACCCTGTGGGGTTCCTCTGAGTCTGAACTGACTCGACGGCAATGGGTTTGGATTTGGGGTTTTATTCTACCAGTTGGTCCTAAATGGTTTGTGCTCTACTACTAACCTAAAGTTGGCTGGTTTGAACCCGCACAGCGGCACTGCAGAAGAAAAGCCTGCTTCCGTAAAGATTACAGCCAAGAAAACCCTACAGAGCAGTTCTTCTCTGTAACAGATGGGGTCGATAAGAGTCAGAATCTCACCTTTATAGGTGTTTTACATGCATGAAGGCTTTTAATATTTATATGAGGTAGATTCTATTATTTCCCCCACTCAACAGCAGTAGGTTTTTTTTTTTTTTTTTGGTTCCACCAATATGTATCAAGGGCCTACTACTAAATTCCAGGCAGCATGTTAAAAAAAGAATCTCTGACCTCTTGGAGTTTCTGTATTGTGAGGAAAATAGATAATAAATATATAGATAAGCAAGTCGATTTTAAATGATGATAAATGCTGCAAAGAAAATAAAAGAGTTAAATGGAATAGAGGGGCTGAATGTGAAGATGCTATTTTATGTGGAGTAGTGGGGAAAGGCCTCTCCATGAAAGTGACATTTAAACTGAATGATGAGAAAGAGACAGCCGTGAGAAGCTCTGGAGGAAGAGCATTCCAGGTAGGGCAAAGAAAGTTAAAGGGGCTCAGGTTAAGAACGAGCTTAGTATGTTTCACAGTAAGAGTTTATTGTATTCATCTGCTTGTATCCTGTGAATCTCCAAAGTACCCTTGAAGAGATCAGGACAAGTCAAGTGTGAAAGACACTGCGTACTTATACACAAGCATTGTACTCACAGCGAACTACTGACATCCTCTACCTGTTGAGGTAACATGTTCATCCACCACAAGCTAGTCTACTGCAGGAAAGCGTACTGGTATTTTTTTATGAAAGCCCAAGTTGTGCATAAAAGACATAATAATGAATGAAAACAGGTGATTAAACTATGGATTATAAAGAAATAATTTTCTGATTTATTTTCTGTGTTCTATTTTTTGTATATTGGTGTCAGGAAATTCAAGAGGAAATATAATTAGGGAACTCAGATGCTAGGACTTGAGGGTCTGGGTATTCCTGGGGTGGGTGGGGGGTCATAATTCTTTAGCATAGTTGGTATGTCAAATATGCTTCATTGGAGGGGGTGGCGGAGGATTTGGGAAACCTCTATCCCTGTGTCCAGCCTCAGCCTGGTTTCCAGCGACAG